TGAAACATATGCATACATTACCTATATCCCTAGGAGTACAGGTTGATAGTTGGGTTGGAAAAGCCTTAGAATGGATGAATAATGCGCTTTAAAAATTATTCCAACATTAAATTTTATCTGTGCCTAGGGTTGTAAACGAACTGAATCTGAATGCCAAGAATTTGTATTCATATTTATTTAATTTTTTTGAATACGAATTTAAAGCCGAATATCAGAACATAGCCAATTTGTGGCGCAGCATTGTGCTCGTAGATTCAAACCAGTTTATTTGTTCCCAAAGCGCTGTCAATTTTGCATCCAAAGTAAACTGTCGTTTAGAAATCAAAAGATGAAATCCTCTCCTAGTGAAAACTATTCTCGTATTACGGCAGTCACTCTATAAGCCAATGAACAATTTCGTTAAACTTGTCTTTAGTTTATTTTATTTTTTCACTGCATATAAACTTATTTCCAACTTCATTTGCGCTGGAAAGAAGCTTACTTTGTTAGTGTATACGATGTATGTTGGTTTCGAAGTTATAAGCAATCTTAAGACTGTGTAAATGGGTTTGGAAAATTCTTAAACTTTTACAATTTGTAAAATGCTTGAGACCAATAAAAATGAAATTCTAAACAACAAAAGATTCAGTGCAAGTCAATCCTGAGTCCTGACCCTTTCTTTCATCAACACTTCTAACAGGGCACTCTGCGTCTTTTTATCAAACACATCGCACCCAACTTAGTCTCCTCATGGAGCAACCCTATCATGTAACCAATTCGATATGCTGACCAATACTGAATACTCTGTACTATTATTTATCAATATATATTGAGCGATTAAAGTGGAAATTTGTAAAAAGGCTCGAGATTTGATAAACCTGCAAATTTCAGAGTGGAAAGAGTCTTCTGGTATGATACAGCGCAGTATAAGCATCCATACACCATCGGTCCTGTGAATTGGATGCACGGATCTGAGCCCCAAACAGTAACTGAACAAGAAAAGAAAAAGAAAAAAGGGGGGGTAGAAAGAGATGGGAGTTTTGTTACCTAAAACGGGGCCCCGACCAGCTTCGTCAATACCCATCATGCAAGGCTTCGTCGCCCAATTCGGCAGATCTCCTCCCACAGGCTCCATTTTCGCTTCTGCGACGCTCTCCCTCTCTATCTATCTTCCCATTCTTCCCACTATCTAGATTCTAGACTTAATAATGTTCCCGCCAAATGTGCAGATTTGTTTTTTCCCGCTCTTAAACCCAATGAAGAAAGTTGGACTGTGGACATGGTGAGGCTTCAAGCACCCGACGGTCCTGAAAGCTAGAGAAAGCCTATGGGTAGGGATATACTCCCTCCGTTCCTAAATATTTGTCACATATGTATTCCTCAGATAAAATATTAAGATTTTTAAATTCATTTTATTTACATATTGCTATAAAAATAAAAAATAAAATTTACATATCAAAAAACTACATGAAAAGTTCTTCGAAGTAAGAGGTGTCAAGAATATTTTATTTTATCAAATAACCAATGAAAACGTAGAAATAAACAAAAGTTCCCGATACTGCTGAAAAAGCAAGTGTGACAAATTTTTGGGACGAATGGAGTAAGAAGCACTGTCATGATCTATCGTCCTTAAATATATCTCATACTCCGTATTTGTTTTTTTCGGAAGTCGTGGAAATTTTTATTTATTTCTATGTTTTCATTGGTTATTTGATAAAATAAAATATTCTTGGCACATCTTATTTTGAAAAACTTTTCATGTAATTTTTTGATATCTAAATTTTATTTTTTATTTCTATACCAATATGTAAATAAAATTAATTGAAAAAACTTGATATTTTACCTCAGTAATAGAAATGTGAGATATATTTAATAACAGAGAGAGTATTGTTTATAATAGTTTTTGTGGGTTCCGGTCACTAAGTGGATTTGTCTTCTCACAAACTGACCATACTCGGTACCAAATGTCCACTTCTTCCAAAATGGATATCATTAGAGGTGATTATGGCTTTGGAATTTAATCTGATCAGTATTGTGTCCACCCTTGAAGGAACTAATCACCAAGGGGGGCAATGATATTGATATTTTAGAAATCAGCCTAGAAAAGATTAAAACATAGAGAGAAGTGCTAAAATAAGAGTTTCATATTTTTATTCTCGAAATAAGATTTCGCAATGTGGTTGTAATGTAGCACTGTACATGTGTATATTATTATACTTTTTAGTAATGTACATGACCACGTTTGATAATGTAAATGCATTTTAACTCATATTTCGAGAATAAATATATAGAAATCATATTTTGGTATATTTTTAATGTTTTACTCTTATCTTAGTCTTTTTCCCTTGATATTATAGCTTGAAAAGCGTAAAATTTTATTTTTTTAGTTTGAAAATTTTAATACTCCATATGTTAGTTTGAAAAAAAAGGTAATACTCCATATGTCCTAAAATTATTATCTCCATTTGAACAATGTATAAAACTATTTCTTAAAATTTTTGCATTTACAAATCAGTATAAACAAAAGTACTCCCTCCGTCCTAAAACTTTCTTCCCGTTGCGCAAAACGAAGACAAATCCCAAGTTTTTTCAATCTATTTTATTTAAATATTGGTATAGAAATAAAAAATAAAACACACATATTTAAAAACTACATTAAAAGTTCAACAAAACAAGTGGTGACAAGAATATTTTATTTTATCATATAGGCCATGAAAAAACACAAATAAATATAAATTTCCGTGAAGTTGGAATAGTGCTTTGGGAAGAAAGTTTTAGGACGGAGGGAGTATAAATTATGTATTTAAAAAATATATCAAAAATATTACAGAATAACATGTGCTAAAAATATTTTATTTTATCGAGATACCAGAATAGTAATTGTAGCAAAAATTTAAAAAAATACTCAAAATAGTAGTTAAATAGAAACTTTATCTAAAAAATTGAAGTGACATCTTTTGGTCTTAGTATTGGACATTGCATTATGACAATGTAATTATATTAGCATTGTATAGTATTTTTGGCATTATATGTTGTTATTGGTATTGTAAGATCTACGGAGTATTTTGGAGATAAAAATACAAATTTTTGTTTTGATTATTTCTGTATATTTTACTCTTATTTTAATATTTCTAGTGGTGATACTTCTGAAACGTAAGAAATAAATATACAAATTAAAGTATGTAATTTGAATGTGAATTCTTCATTTTGTGATTACTTTTTAGTAAAAATATGATGTGATTGGTAAATAATGTGATATAGAGGTTAATATTCTCTAATTGATAAGAATGAATTAATGTTTCTAAATGGGAGAAGAAAATTTTCTTAACCATAAACGTATGAAAAAGAAACTAGTAATAATTTTTTGGGCTATGCTTGATTGATTTCAACATTTGAACATCATAACTTAAGCAAATTTTATAGTGAAAATAAGATCCACTATAACGTATATTTAAGTAAGACGAGTATTTCTCTATTACTTAAGTAAACATTTGTTTTTATAAATAAAAAAATTATGTAAGAAGGTCCATAAAATTGATATACACCCAAAGTGCACTAAAAAACGTTTAATCTCAGTCTTAGAAGAAACACTACAGACAAAAAACAATATCGAATATATCTAATCCTACTATATACAATGATAGGTGCATTTTGTGAACAGTGTTCCCGCCTAAACTAAATGCTTGGTGGATCGGGTTTGGGCCAGGCTCTGTAAATGACGGGTTTGGGCCTATTTTGTGGTTTGGGTTTAGGCCTGGCGTGGTGTGGGACTCAATAAAATTGCTTTATGTCTTTTCAATTTTAGTGGTTCCATAAAGTTGCATTGAGAAAAAACAAAATTGAGTGGCTCCATAAAATTGCATTGGGGAAAAACAAAATTGAGTGGCTCCATAAAGTTTCATGGGGAAAAATAAAATTGAGTGGCTCCATAAAGTAAATTTAGAAAAAAGTAACTTTGTGTCAAATCTATCTATTATAAAGATTTTTAATATCTAGTCATTTAATGAATGGTTAAAGGTATCATGAAGCATGTATTATATATATACTCGAGCATAATGATGTGAACTTCATTCCTAAAAAATAAACTTCTCAAAAATCATCTCAATATTTATATTTCTCATTCAGCATCCATCTCTCCACATCAATGGCAATGGTGTTTCCTTCTTTACATTATATATATAAAGTGTATATATATATATATAATACTATATTGTTTCAATTTTATTTTCTTCAGGTCAAAGTTTACCAAGCTTGATGGAAAATAGTCAAATATGGACATATAGACAAATACTCAAGGAAGAGGTAGTATATTTATTGAATTAATATTTACTAGGTCCGATAAACATGGATGAATTATATGAACATAATTTACTCCCTCAAACTATAATTAAATTGCATGTGAACTTTTCTCACAGTTAAACTTCAATCACTTTTTTTATTTGATTTTGTAATTTGATTCAATAATATAGTCATTTCCCCATTACTTTTAGAATATGTAATTTTTATATTTTAATTCTACATCTTTTTTCATATTAAATGATTTGAAATGAAATTGAGTAAAATGTTGAAAACCAAAAACGGTGATTCAAATATTTATTAAGTTATGATCTATCATATAAATTCATTTTTTAATTTCTCACTCATCCACTTTATTTGAATCCAATTTATTTATATCATACGGAGTAAAATATATTCATTGTTTCTTTAAAATAATAGTTAAATATTCTTACTGTGCGACCTACGGAAAGTGTTAAAGATTTTGATTTGCAATAAAGACCCTTCTTTCATGTTACCAAATAACGAATGTAGTTTGTAAAAAAACGTTTCAAAACTTTTAACACTTTCAAAACTCCCCTTCTTTTTTCTATTTTTTCAATTTATATAATCTTTTCAAGTTTTTGTAACATTTTTCCTTATTTTAAACATCGAGTAATTATATGTCAATTAATAGCTCGTGCATCGCACGGGTACGAGTCTAGTATCGTATGGGGTTAAATTTTGGCGTTCCAATCTCGGTTAAAATGTCATTTTTCTAATTTTTTTCGAGGGAGTCGAGAATATAAATGACTATAGCCCTCTCTCAATGACTTTCATTCAATCATTCGCCCCAAAAAGAAATCAATAAACCAGAAAAATTAATCAGATCATCTTCTCCGATCCCATGGCAGGAGTTCTTGAAGAACTGAAGTGGGAAGGGAAATCCACAGCCAAGTGTCAGGGTCCAAAGCCACACCAAGTATGGTCCGTCCTAATCGACGACTTCTGCGACCTTCACAGATGGCTCCCCTCCCTCGATCGGTGCCACCAAGTCGACGGGGTGAAGGGAGAGGTCGGCCTGGTCCGTTACGTCGCCTCCGTCGATCCGGCCGACTCCGGCGAGGAAAAGAAGGTCAAAAACTGGTGCAACGAGAGGCTGGTCAGCGTTGACCACCGCGAGCGGTGTCTGAGCTACCAAGTTCTGGACAACAACATGGGGATCGAGGGGTATGTGGCCACGCTGAAGGTTTTCCCGGCGGCGGACGGAGACGGCGACGACGCCGGTTGCCGGATCGAATGGTCCTACGTGGCTGATCCCATTGTTGGGATGACCGGCGAGGAATTCTTTGGTTTCATCGCATCTAATTTACAAGGGATGGTTGGGACTCTCCAAAAAGCTTTTCCTTTGGATCCTTAGCTTCAAGAAAAGTTTAATTGATGTGGCACCCAAAGTAGTAAGTTTCTCTAAATAAAACCAAACATGTTTCATTTTTTCTATGTCACATAATTTTATATGTTTTGTGATATATGCTTATTAGCATTAAGTACGAATGTGGTTATTAGCAACAAGTGTGATAATAACTATTCAAATTGTCATTTTTAATAATATTTTATTTTACTTTAATTGTGTAACTGGTAATTGTTCTCAAGATAATATTTTAGAATTTTTTATTGCCAAATATTAAAAAAAAGTGATATGTTTAAGTTCCACTTGCTTAAATTTCCCTAGCTTCAATTCCTTTTGTATGAACTATGAACCGTCCAAACTATGCTCGGGCCAAAGATTAATTAGTCAATAAAATGTGTACAATACAGCCTAGACTATCCCATGAAGTCCTTGTGCCTAGAAAAATGCCATCGATGTATCAAAAATGGCATTTCAGATTTACCCCATTATGGGCTTGTTTGGGAATATCGTTAGAAATTAGCGTTAGCGTTTTGGATAAAATTTTAATAGTGCAGATTACTTTAAAAACGATAATGTTAAACGTTGTCCGTAGATAACCTTTTCAAAATGATAATGCTTGATGGTGTAAATTACCGTGCAAATATGAAGTATAAGTAATCGGAAGGGCTGTAGGTGGAAACACTTGTAACCTCGTTTGTTATTAATGATAATAGAAGCTATTACAAAGCACAAGCTGTGTGCATTAATTAAAGCATGCCTCATAAATGAGGCTTTTAGGGGTATTTATAGTAATCTTAAGCACGTCAAGCACGTCTAACACTGCCCAGCCGGTCAGTGAACATGCCCGGTCTGTTTACATGTCTTTGCTACTCTAAACTGTATCTTTGGTTCCGAATAATAGACCGGTCTCTCAAACCGGGTGGACTTGGCTAGGCGGCCTCACAGCTGGTACCTCCCAGTCGGTCGGACCAATCGGGCGGTATCCATGGTTATTACCCATCAAGGAGTCCCCCGATTCCCGGTCTTGTGGGTACCATCAGGGGCGGGAAACATATCCGAGCATTCTTTCAAATTTGAAATGCCCAGACGTCTTTTGGCGGGAAAACAGCTTCTGTAAATCAGCGCCAAAACTAATATATTTGAATTTCGAATTTTTGAAAACCTGGGCGCCAGAAGCGGGAGAATCTTTGTTGAAATTTGGTACGACCCCGCCGATTTGTTGCGCCGTTCTGTCTCCCCGAGAAGTTATGATTACGAATCATTTCAGTTGCCACGTGTCGCCCCGCTATTCGTTCGGCTGGGCGGCATCTTCCCTATATAAGGCGAGGTTCCCCCTTGAATTTTCTCACTTTGCAAATCACCAACTAAAGATTGAGACATAAATCATTCCCAAAAAAAGAGATTGAGACAAAAATGAAAAGTAAAACTTACATATAAGATTTACATACTCCATATGTCCAAAAAAAGAATAGAATCGTTACTATTTTGGCTTCTCGAAACTTTTGTTTGTTTACTTGTTTTTGCTAAACCATTTGATAAAATGATATATTTTCGTCGCGTCTTGTTTTGTAGAATTTTGATGTACTTTTGAACGATGTGATATTTTATTTTTATTTATCTACAAATTTATAAATAAAATAATTTTAAAAGAAACGATATTTTGCACCTTGTTTGAAATGTTACAAACAATTTAAGATGGAGGGAGTAATTACAAAATACATCAAAGTTTTGCAAAATAAGAGCTAAAAAATATTTTATTTTATCAAATAGTTTAAAAAACTACACAATTAAACAAAAAATATCATAATTTTAAAATACTCCCCCCATCCCACATTGGATGCTACACTCAAAATAACGTGAAAAATCATATAACTTTTAAAACTATTTTCATTACAAAACAGTACCAAAATAAAAAGTAAGAGTTACACCTTTTAAAAGTATATTAAAAATTTGGCCAAATAGCAACAGTACCCCTATGGTTTGTATTGTAAAATAGACATGAATACCTCTCTTTTTAAAAAAATTATTTCTAAAGTTCATATGGTTTCAAACATTGCATTCATATTTCCTTTGATCATTTTCCAGCCACTTTTTTGGTAAAGAATGGGGCATTGGTGTATATTTTTTAAACCATAGGGGCGCTAGTGCTCATTCTTAAGACTCTTTTTTGCATATTTTAGTTTTTTCATTTCATTTTTCGATATTTTTATTTTTTATTTTGGAATTTCTTTTTGAACTTTTAAAAAATTATTTTAAAAATAAAAAGTGAAAATATTAAATTTGAGATAGATGCAGCGTATGTTAATTTTTTTAATTTTCATTTCAAACACATGTAAAGTTCTTAGAGTTTTTTAAAACATTAAAAAAAATTGAAAAAAGATTTTAAAAAAATTAGAAAAGAAAACAAAGAGATAAATAAAATATAAAAAGGGAAAATCCGAAATAATAAATGAAAAATAAGAAATGAGCACGAGTGCCTTATGATTTATAAATTAGACGCCAATACCTCATCTTCACTGGAAATGATTAGAGGCGGTCTGTGTGCAACATTTTAAAATTACACAAATTTTAGAAATAAAGTTTGAAGGAAGAGGGGACATTAATGCTAACTTTTCAAATCATAGGAGTACTGGAGTTATATGATCTTAAAAATTTAATAAAACCAAGAAGAAAAATACTAGGGGTACACCAATGGTGTATCCTATTTGTCCCACACCTCCTTCATTACCACAAAAATGGGCAATAGACTAAAAAAATTAAGTAAATAAAAATAAGGTAAAAATAAATAGTGAAGAAAGAGTTGGAGGACAAATGGGGTATTAAATAAAAGTATTTTGGTTAAAAGATCGCGGGAGTCGGCGAGCGAGATATATATCAGTAGGTCGCTGCTTCGAACCATGTTTACGCCTCCGCAAGATTTGTGCCCACGATCGGATAGTGGGAGTCCTAGATTATTAGGGTAATATTTCCTCCAACTGAATCACGAGTTATTGACCTCCGATCTGCCAGCGTTTTGGCAACTCGTTTGGCGCGTTTGTGGAGATGCCAGAACCTTTGCAAGTCGTCTGCCCTGGAGTAAATCTGTACTAATTTGATTTTTGTTCTTCCAATTCAGAAGCTCTGTAGTTATTAATGCTTTAAGAAATTTCAATTCTTTTGTTTCTTTCGCGTTGCGTGATAAGTTGGTGAATTCCACATGCGTTACTTTTGGGTTTCTAATGGTGTTTATGGTGGATTGTGTATGTGTTCATTTGGGCTCCCTTGTTTCTCATCTCCTCTGTCACTCCATGTTATTTATGGGTTAAGGTTTCCTGTTTTGGGTTCATCAGAATTTTGGTAGTATTTTAAGAAATGAGAAGATGAAGGTATTGTTTTTATAATTCTTGCGCAAGGTAATCATCCCAATGTTACACATCTCCATGTGGATTATTAATTTCTCCTGGATCAAATTTTACATTTGCCTTAGATCAGTTGTTAGAATCTCCTGCTAATACTCCATATTGTTCATCAGTTACAGTTTCCTCTTTAGAAAGTTGAAAGTTAGTAGATTTTTCAAAAATGGGAGGTTAATATTGTTACTAGTATTTTTGCTAGGGTAGAAAATCCTGGTGATCCACATACATTTAGTGTGACTGGTTGAGTTTTGCTAAAAGTCAAATATTGCCTTAGGCTTAGGTGGTTATGTCCACTTCTTTTTTTTTTTTATAAAAAAAATCATGAATTGCTGTTTGGGGTGGCTTGTTTTCTATGGAATGTGAGTGTATATGATTTCTTTGCGTGTTTCAGGCCACCTGACCTACTCCCTGATGACACACAAGTAGAGTATGATCGCTGTGGGCGTCCAGTTTTGGAAGTTGACTACGATGACCCTGATGATGAAATTCGTGCTGACATGAGAGATCACAATCGCTATGCTAACCTTGCATTGGCATACTACAATGACAAACATGTCCGTGAATGTGTTCTCATCCCCCTTCACCTCCAACTTTATTTTTTTGTTGTCTTTCTCTAATTTTGTAAATTTTCAATTTCAATGAATTATTTGTGTTCCCAATTCTTCTTTTTCCAAAATTTACTGTCGGTTTATTGCCTTGCAGTGCACTGACTATAAGGTTGTTGAGGTTCCTTGAGGCCGGCAGATTTATGAGGTAACGTCGGGTGCTCAAGTCATTGTTCACTGTGACTTTTCTGCTGCACAATCCACAGCTGCTGAGTGTGATTCATCAGTTAAAAGCTTCTTTGCTGTGTTGGAGCAATCAGAACAAGATAATGAAGATGTGCGTGTTATTTCTTGTTGCATTGCAGACGGTAAGGACTTTCATAACATTTCACGTGTCCTGATATATGCCATGCTCTGCATTTCCTAGCACTCCATATCACTCTTTCCATTACCCAAAATTTATATTTAAAAGAATCTTTTCACAGCATATATTCTTTGTGGATTAGAATACGCCATGGCTTTCAAAGATGTAATCAACCTACTTGATTGTATTTGTAGAGTATGATTAAATACCTATAAATTATAAAGTGACATGAAGATGAGAAACCTATGGCAACATCTCTAATACTCCTGTGCTAAGAATTTGTAGGATTGAAGAAATTCCTGAAATCTTTTTGAAGGAATTATGATCTCTAGAAATACTAAGAGCACTTAGGAAATTGAGGAAAACAAGTTGTGAAACACATCCTAGTGGTTATGTTACGTTGTCCTTGAAGTTGAGTGAAGATGAAAATTGTGTTTCTATTTCACTTTTTTCATGTCACTATTTTGTATCCTTTATTTTCATTTCAGGTCTCAAAACTGTAGGCTGTGAGGGCTGCGATATTACCATGTGTGGTCCACGTGATCCATCGTGGAATGAGAAGAAGGTCAAGGATTCGAAACCTAGGTATAGTATTTACTCTTCTATTATGTCTGTCTGTTTGCGTCTTTCTTGCACTCTTCTTTATTGAAATCAAATGCTGGCTTTCTTCTACTCTGATGTATGTGTGCACTACTCTCAAAGACTCGATAATGAAAGAAGACTATTTAGGCTTTTTCTCCTGCTGGAAATAACTTACTTTAGGCTACCAATACTACCATCTATCATGCACTAGCTATTAAGCAAGAAAAAAGAAATCCCCTTGCCTGCCCTTCTGCCTAATTAATGTTTCCTTCATTTTACTAACACTTTGTTTGGTTCAAGGAATTTGAGAGGAAAAAGAAAAGAAAATGAGAAGGAAAATATTTTTCTTGTTTGGTTAGGAAGGAAAAGAAAAGAAAAGTGGAAGGAAAAAAAAAAGAGAAGTCAAATGTACTAAGAGGAAGGAAAACCAAATTCCTCTCATTTTGGTGAGGAAAATGAGGGAAAACCATTTTCTTTTCTTTTCCTACCAAATTCTTTGAACCAAACGTAGTGTAAATCTCTCTTCTTTCTTTTTTCATCTGTTTAAAAAAATTCATTTCTATTAAAAAGACACTTTTGTCTCTACTAATTCTTAACATACCTAGAACATCATTTTTCACTGTTAATCTACACATCATATCTATTTTTACTCATTACATCCAAGGATATTTTAAAAAATATGAACACTAAAATATACACTCTTTAAATATTTTAAAAATCAAAATGAGAAAGATCTTGTGAGATGAAGGAAAAAGTAGGAGTGAGAGCTGTGAGAAATGGGAAAAGGGGACATTTGATTTGAAATGATAAAACTAAAACACTTGATTACACAAAATCCATTTACTAGCCTCAACCTCTATATTATCTTGCCCTTTTCTTCATTCTCAGCAAATGTACTCAAGCTAGCCTCCCCCCCATAAAGGCTAACAGAAAGAGAGAGAAAGAGATCAGAGGCCACTTTGTATTAAGAGATATGTACAAATGGTAGATAGATCTTGTTTGGGCGGAATATATTTGAATTGGCTTAGCTTATTAGCTTGTTTTGTTTTTTGATTTGTTGTTATTGTTAAGGTTAGTTGTTTAGTTGCATATGTACCCCCACTTTTGTTTATTGAATTGGTCTCACTGCATTGCACCTTAATTAGTGACATAGCAGACCAACGGAAAACTCCATACCGGCCTCTTGTTTAACGGAAATGGCCGCCGGCAGTGCGGCCGGCCAGGCGTGCAACACCACTTATATTTAAACCCATTATTTAGTGTCAAACCAAGACCACCTAGTGCTTAAGTGCCCATGCATTATTATCATTTAGTACTATTGTGTCACTAATTTTTTTTGGATATGGAGTACTAGCTAGGTTTGGAGCTTAGATCAAATCATTAGTATTGTATTTCGGTTGTGCTTGCTAATTATATATAATAATGCACAAACAACTTGAAGTTTATTGATTATATAAATTGTCTTTATTTGTCTAATTAGCTAGCTAGCTAGGATGTCCAACTGCAAAATATGGGAGAAATTTGGGCCAAACGACAATTATACTCTGGTGCGAGAGAGTCTACGACCAGAGAGGGATAAGTGCATTTTTTTAGAGATTGATTATTAGTACATTATCTAGCTACTGTCAACAGCAAGCAACTAGCTAGTGAGTTCTTTGTATGGTAGTAACTATTCATTTTCAAATATATAATGGATATATGATAAAATATATACAGATGGATGCATGTATGCGGCGCTATTGAGACATCTCGATAGTGCCGCGTACATGCATCCCGTATATATTTGAAAATGAATAGTTACTACCATACAAAGAACTCACTAGCTAGTTGCTTGCCGTTGACAGTAGCTAGAGAATGTACTAATAATCAATCTTTAAAAAAATACACTTACCCCTCTCTGGCCGTAGACTCTCTCGCACCAGAGTATAACTGTCGTTTGTCCCAAATTTCTCCCATATTTTGCAGTTGGACATTCTAGCTAGCTAGCTAATTCGACAAATAAAGACAATTTTATAATCAATAAACTTCCAGTTGTTTGTGCATTATTATATATAATTAGCAAGCACAACCGAAATACAATACGGAGTACTAATGATCTGATCTGAGCTCCAAACCTAGCTAGTACTCCATATCCAAAAAAGATTAGTGACACAATAGTACTAATTGATAATAATGCATGGGCACTAGGTGGTCTTGGTTTGACACTAAATAATGGATTTAAATATAAGTGGTGTTGCACGCCTGGCCGGCCGCACTGCCGGCGGCCATTTCCGGCGAACAAGAGGCCGATATGGAGTTTTCCGTTGGTGTGCTATGTCACTTATTAAGGTGCAGTGCAGTGAGACCAATTCAATAAACTGGAGGTACATATGCAGCTAAACAACTAACCTTAACAATAACAACAAATTAAAAAACAAAACAAGCTAATAAGCTAGGCCAATTCAAATATATTCTGCCCAAGCAAGATCTATCTATCATTTGTACATATCTCTTAACACAAAGTTGCCTATGATCTCTCTCTCTTTCTGCTAGCATTTATGGGGGGGTGGGGGGGAGGCTAGCTTGAGTACATTTGCTGAGAATGAAGAAAAGGGCAAGGTAATATAGAGGTTGAGGCTAGTAAATGGGTTTTGTGTAATCAAGTGTTTTAGTTTCATCATTTTAAATCAAATGTCCCCTTTTCCCATTTCTCGTTGCTCTCACTCCTACTCTTTCCTTCATCTCACAAAATTTTTATCATTTTGATTTTTAAAATATTTAAAGAGTGTATATTTTAGTGTTCATATTCTTTAAAATATACTTGAATGTAATGGGTAAAAAATGGTATGATGTGTAGATTAACAGTGAAAAATGTGATGTGTTAGGTATCTTAAGAATTAGTAGAGACAAAAGTGTGTTTTTAATAGAAATGAATTTTTTTAAATAGATGAAAAGAGAAAGAAGAGAGATTTACACTACGTTTGGTTCAAGGAATTTGGTAGAAAAAGAAAAGAAAATGGTTTTCCCTCATTTTTCTCAGCAAAATGGGAGGAATTTGGTTTTCCTTTCCTCTTAGTACATTTGACTTCTCTTTTCCTTTCACTTTTCTTTTCTTTTCCTTCCTAACCAAACAAGAAAAATATTTTCCTTCTCATTTTCTTTTCTTTTTCCTCTCAAATTCCTTGAACCAAACAAAGTGTTAGTAGAATGAAGGAAACATTAATTAGGCAAGGAGATTTTTTTTCTTGCTTAATAGCTAGTGCATGATAGATGGTAGTATTGGTAGCCTAAAGTAAGTTGTTTCGAGCAGGAGAAAAAGCCTAAATAGTCCTCTTTCATTATCGAGTCTTTGAGAGTAGTGCACACATACATCAGAGTAGAAGAAAGCCAGCATTTGATTGCAGAAAACCCATCATGAGACCTAGTACTGCATACATAGGACGATCAGTATTACCTGAGTGATTTAACACAACTGGGCAGCGTATAACTGGGCAGCGATTCTGTGTGGAGATGAACTTACATGCAAAGGGGAAACTAAAGTTTATTGCGTCACCATGTATACTATGTTGGTGTTTACGTGTGCTTGTGATGGTTGACCTATCATTAATAAACACTTTTTAACTTATAAGTTATTTATTCTCTTGTGAAATGAAAATAACTTAAATGATAGATATATCATATGTTGATATTCATAAATGGTGAATGACAGTTTTATAAATAATTTGGTCAAAATGGAGAGACGAAAAAATTGGTTTAAAAATAAATAGCAAATACTTATTTTTTCTGGCTTATATTCAAACTTATAGCTTAGCTTACAAGCACACATAAGGATATCATTAACTGACTTATAAATTAAAAAATGCTTATAAGCAGTTTTGACCAGTTTTGCATTGAGATACACTGACTATATCCCTTCTCAAAATCATGTTCTTAGGGAGTTTTCAAATTAGATGGTTGACCGTTTTTATTTTTAAATTTAATTTATTTAAAAAAGAATATTTCAAAATAAATATTATATAATTAAAAACTACATAAAGTACTTTTTAGTACAAGAGTTGATATGGTTATATTTCCTTCATCGCGTAAAATTTTTTAACTTTCGCATTTTACATGTCTTATAAAACATTTCAATTTGATCTAAATGGACATATATAACTACATTTACTTTTTTCAAATCTAACTTAACTTACACTACTTTCTAAGTCTTACCCATTTTGACGTTTCTTGAGTCATACTCATTTCAATTATCATTGTTTCATTTTGATCAAATTTCTACATACATTTTCCCCTCTTAAAAGAAAAAATAGAAAAAGTTTTGCCATACAAAGGTAGTGCTATTTTACTCCCTAAAAGAGGGAGTTTTGCCATAGAAATATTTTGTGTCCCATAAAATCCTTCATATTCCCCTAAAAGAGAGAATTCTACCATTTACCCTAAATTCTACCAATCCCACACCGAAACTCCCCCTACTTTTCCCAACCTCTAATTTTTGTTTTGGGCATGAGGTATTATATATGGAACCCTATCCTTAATTTCCTTTAATTTCAAAATAAGGAGTTCGTGAGACTAAAAGAGTAAAAAGTAATTAACAAAATGAAGTGATGAAATTGACCTCCCAATATAGATAGAGTAATGAAGAAGATAACTATTTTTTTCTAATAAATAATTTTCAAAATTAAGTGATAAACAAAAAAAGTGTTTGACCTCCAAATATAGAGGAGTAAAGAGGATTATTCTCCTTCGGTACCTAAAAGTCATTCTCATTTCTTTTTCTCTTTGTCTCAAATTCACATTACTTTTATCCATATATATTTATTACTTCTTACCCTACTTTATCTTTCTACTAATAATTTATCCATTACATTCTTCTCTTACCCATCGCATCAAGGATAATTTGGAAAAAATAACACAAAATCATTTTCTTAAATTACATAAAAGTAAAAAAGAGAATGGCTTTTAAGCACAGAGAGGGTATATAATTTAGGACAAAGAGAGTATATATGTACTTCGTATTATTATTATTAAAAATTAAGTATACTCCCATCCACAAAAACTCTACACACTTTGATCATTTTTAAATATATAAATTTTATTAAAAAATGATACTCCTTCAACATCATTTTCAACCACATTTCTTTACTTTTCTTAAACTTTGAGGCCAAACTTGAAACTTTAGTTTTTTCTGGGACAAAGGAAGTACATAATAACTGCATCCTAAAATAAATCTAATTGTATCAAATTTATACAATACTCCATATTATATTTAAGAGTGATGCTTTCATGATCTTAAGATCGACTTGTGAAATGTGAAGCTTCTCACACTTTTAGTGGGCCGACATGCGGATATTTCATTTTTTTAAAAGCCCAATTTATCTATGGTGTTTATATATTAAGGTCCATGAAATAAGTGTGAACCTTAATAGGACCATGGAAAAATTTGTCTATATTTGAATATACTTTTTTTACAGTTTGTGTCACGTATTTACAATTTAAATAAAAAGTTTTTTTTGTTTAGAATTGAGTATTTAATAGTCCGCAATTAATTTATAAGGAAAAGAAAAAACGCAAAATAGTACAACTTGATCAGATAGGGGGCTAGGGGCCTTCCTTATATCCATCAGATATCTATGTTGATACAATTAATAATTAGTGATCCTCCTCCCTTGGCTGATAAATTTAATCATGAGCTGAAACAATCACGAGTAAACCATAGGAAGGGTGACATTTTTATTTCAAAATAAAATATTGTATAGTAAAAATGTGGTACTATATATTGTTATTTATCAATATTTTTTGGTATTGTAATTAAGTTAGCATTATTCGTATTCTTAATTATACTTTTAAGATAAAAACATGAAGATCATATTTTACTCTTTTTTTCTCATTTCATCCGTTCCAAAAAAATCAACTTTCATGTTGACAATGTAAGGGTAAATTTGGAAAGTAATATTAATATTACACATTCCTTAAATTTCACCTTTTCGTATATAGAAAATATTTTATGAGATAGAGGTACGTACTACATAGTACTCCCTCCGTCTCCCACTTTTTGTCTACTTTCATTTTTACACAACATCCAATGCACTTCTTTAATCCATTTTATCTTGTAATTTGTATATTAAAAACTTATAGAAATTATATATTAATAATCTATATGTTAAGACAAATCAAACAAGATCACACATACTATATTTAGGCTTACACATTGAGAAAATTTGATGAGTCAAAGTACTTAAATGAACAGTTCCAAAAGTCAAAAGTGGATAAAATCTAGGGGACGGAGAGAGTATGTTTTATTTCTATTTTAGTCGTTCTTCCTTTGATATACATTGTCTCACTTCGAACAACATGCAAAATTTCATTTTTCAAAAAAAACTATTTACAAATTGGCATAGAAATTAAAAACATAAAGTATATACCTCCTCCGTCCCAAATTAAATTGTTTGTTTATTATTCACAAGATCAAACATTATTTGCTTTCTTTTCTTATTTTTATTAGTCATTTGATAAAATAATATAATGTCACCCTGGTTTTATAGATCTTCTGATGTCATTCTTTTGTATTAATTGCATGTAGTTTTTATTTTTTAATTCTACACCATTTTTCATATAAAATGATTTCAAAAAACTTCAGTAAGACATTGTAAATTGATACAAACAATATAAAATGGGACAAAGGGAGCATTTCAAAACTACATAAATTTTTTTATTAAAAAGGAAAATTATTATACTCCCTCCGTCCCATAAAACCTTTCTCCTTTCTTTTTTCATCCGTCCCATAAAACACTTCTCATTTCTATTAAAAAGTCACTTTTACCCATTACTTTTTCATGCCCTACCTATCACATCATTCCTTTTTACTAATAATCTACCCATCAAATTCTACTTTTACCCATCACATCAAAGGACATTTTTGGAAATTCAATACCAAAATATACTCCCTTAAATCTTTTCAAAAAGCAAAACATCTCATGTTTCATGGGACGGAGGGAGTATGTGCCTAAAATACATGGTAAACCTTCATATTAGCTAAATAAACATTTTCAAGTATTGAAATGAGCATTTTTAAAATAAAAAAATTATGTGAGAAGGTTCATGTATACCTTAGGTCCACCATAGATTCTATCTATAAAAAACACGACAATTTTTTTTATTTTATCAAATAATCAATGAAAAAACACAAATAAACAAAATGTATTTAAAATACAATAATACGAGTAGTAATCGAACGAAATTTTTGGAAGAGATGAAGTGTGTGTACTAGCACTGATACACGCGCATTGATGCTATATTTAGTTTTAGGACCATGCTACACTTACACCAAGAATTGTGCCTCATTTGTACACCGCAGTTATACACAAATATTTTGATGGTTCACACCGACACAAGTGTTGGTGCGTTAACAAAAATTTACACGGACACAAATTGTTCGTGCCTTAACAAAAATTAGTTTTACACCAACACAAAATGTTGGTGCAAACCTCTGGTGTACAAATGGAGTATAGATGCTTGGGGTACAAATAGCTTTATCCTTAGTTTTAACATCATGTGTTTTGTACTCCCTCCGTTTGAAAAAAGTGTTCCTATTTTGACTTTGTGTAAAAATAAGGAAGTATTAAATTGTAGTTGACTTCCAATTTTGCTCTTGATGTGATAGGTAAAAGTAAGATGTGATGGATAGATTATTAGAGATAAAGTATGATATGATAGGTAAGGTATGAAAAAGTAAGGGTAAAAGTGGTTTTTTAATAGAAAGTGGAAGTGTTTTGTTGGAAGTGAAAAAAATGAAAGAGGAAGTGTTTTAAAAAACGGAGGGAGTATTAAGTTTTTTGTAATTCTTACTAAAGTTGTGGTATCAATGGGAGTGCAATAATAATTAAATGGAGTTTTAGTAATTATGAATTTTTATAGCTTTTTTTTTTGTGAAACAAAATATTATGTACTCTCT